TAGGTGTAGTAAATATTGCTGTGGCTCTGCAGCTCGTATGTGTCTGCTCTGATTCATAAATTACAAAGAAAAAATCCAGATGAGTGGATAAATTTAAATATTAATTCATTAGGGTTGACTTCAAAAATAAGAATTTGTCTGAATAATCATAGTTAGGGTATTAGTGTATATATGTCAGTGACAGGCATGCTGCTGAGAAGGCATTTAACTCCCATCAGGCATCTTTTCCAGTGGTTGCATCTTGTGTCAGCCACAGTTTTGGCCTTTTCAGATAAAGACATTTAAATAAAATAACTGTTTGCAGGGATGATCCTTGCCTCAGCAAAGGAGGAGTGAGGGTGGGAGGGACCTTGCTTTTTGTACAGTGGGTTTGAACAACTCAGTGTTCATATTAAAATATTCTGCTGTTCAGCAGCAGAAAGGTGAGGAGGGTGTTCCTTGAAAAGAATTAGAAACAGAGCCCCGAAGGGAGTGTCTTCCAAGGAACTGAGAGGATGTCTGCACAATTTAAGCAATATTTAAGGAGAGATCTCATAATAGTCTGTAAGGATTACAAGATTGTAAATATGAATGGGGGACAAGAATTTTGTAGGCAAGTCCAAAGGATGTCAATTAGAATTTTAAAACTGAACAAGGGGAAATTAATCTAAGTAGCTGTATAATCGTACTCTGTGATAGATGTCGGAGTGGAAATTCTTTTTAATTAAAAGTGCTGGAAGGGAAAAGGATTAGTTTGATAAATTTTCTAGTTTGGGAGAAGTTAGAAACTGTTGAATTGAAAACTACCTATTTTGTGGCTAGCCATGATTATAAATTAGAAATTTTAGCTATTTCTAGACTTCTAAAAAGTTTATAAGAAAGCGATATGTGTTATTCAAAATTATTGAGATTTTGCCTTTTTTTTAGCCTTAATTTGGAGTGAGAAAACTATTTTCATGTCTCAGAAAATGCATTTGCTCTTCATGATTTCATAATACTTATGCACTGTTCTTCCTAGAGAATTGTATCCTATTTCCCTGGTTATCTATTTTGTGTTCTTATCTGCTTTAATATGTGATTTGATATGCTCACTCTGATCTCTTTCAGCCCCCTTTGTTTTTCCCTAATCAGTGTTCTGTGTCATGTACATTTTGCTCTCAGTTTTCATTCATTAATATGACATTTCTCATCTTCTGCTTCACTGCACTGGTGAGGACTTGCCACTTTTCCTCACCCTCTCTGTTCTTACTCATGGCAAATGAAATAATTAATCAAAGCAAAAATCCTGCGATAGGTACCTACAAACCCTGCATACAGAATTTGACTACTTCAGATGCCACTTGGAAAAGAGAGGGTTTGTGGCATCATAGAGACACGTTGGTGTTTTTATACTGCTTAAGAGAAAATTGGGCATTTAAGTCCTCGGGAAAAGGAATTTTGAGGCAAATGCTCAGCTACTGGAGTGGAGGGGTCTGCAGCATTTTTCTTTGGCTGAAGACCTGTTGTTTTGCATTTCTGGAGTCACTCGTCATTAAATGAACATAAGAATAGACTCAAGTTGATCAAACCACACCTGCTTGCACGAAAAATGTAAGCAAGCTGTTCTGAGGACAATGTTTTAGATGTTGCTCTCCACTGGAAACAGCCTACAGAAGGTAAGTGCTCTGAGGAACACCACAGCAGACAAGTCTGCCACCCCCTTCACCTGGGTCAAAACGTATCTTCTGCTTCGGAATAGGATATTACTGATTTGCTCTCCCACCCTCTCCTACTTTGTCTATTTTTAACCAGGTTCAATCTCCTAAACCCTCAGTGACTATTAAATCTGTACTCGGGCCAAACGTTGTCTGGTGGCACAACAGAGCCTTCCTAATGTCACAGTGCACTGGGGTGAGTCTGGAGAGACCAAGTGAAGAAAAGTGGGTGGTCACTTTTTAATATCTCCAGTGACATACTCCAAAAATCTTCTCCATGACAGTCCTTTTTTGGTGATTTTTCTTGCAGCGTGATAACTGAAGGTGAGCAAAAAATGAAAACACCACAAATAAAATGTAAATCTATTGTGAAAACACTTAGTATCTTTCTAGTCTTATGCCTCAGGTCTCAAGAAATCAAAACAGAATGTGCCAAAAAAAGAAGGAATATTTTATTATAATGTTTCAAAGGTCGTTTTGTTTTGAAAAAATTAAACCAAACCATAGTTAAACTTGTAAACCTGAGAAAATGTTGGTGAATTATTTAAACTTTTTATTCTCATGTTCACAGTAAATTTGCAAATTTGCTGTCAGTTTTCTGATTATAGAGAAATTAAAATTGAAGTAGCCATTTTGATTGATTCAGTTGAAATTCATTACAGGGTTACATATTGTTCTGTAACAGAATTCATTACAGAAAAATATTACAAGGTTATAGGCTATTTTTCACGGAGAGCCCAGTACTAATTGGCTGGAAAGGCTTGTTTCGATCTCCATATTAGTGCCCATAAACTGGGAGAAAGAGTCAAGTGAAGCATAGAAGCAGACTTTGAAACAGCAGTAGTATGAAAGAATATAATAGAACAGGATATTAAATAATCAGATATATAATATCTGGCAGAAACTTAATTTTGTGTAATTGCCAAAATAACAGTTTAGTGTCAAATAATGAGTGATAGTATAAAAGGATTAGTCTGATACTGTGTTCCAGTTCATAATGTCACGATTTATTGCTCCATAGCTTACATATTTTCTTAGGTGAGATAATAGTTAATTTTCACTTCTTGCATAAAAATCTCTGCATTCATTGACCAGAGAAATTAATATCTTGCTTTAGAGATTGTCTAAATTTTATATACCTGAATGAGTCGACAGTGAGATTTTTTTTTTCACATCTGTTTTTTATCTTAGTGTTTTGAAGGGGAAATAACAACTATTTTGGATCTCCAAGTCCATTTATTGCAGGTCCGATTCTGCCATAAGAAGCAGTCGGCCTTGGGGAACTTTATTCTATGTGTTTTTTATGGACTTCATGGAATTATCTGTAGCATGACCTGCCACTCACACTCACTGTGAGCAAGTATGGGAGCATAAAAGCACAGGTGTGTTACAGCTTTTGCACTGAAATAAGCCTGACTTTAGAGTTAAGTTGTGCCTTACCTGGGTGATATTATTAGCCATCATTGTTCTCCACAGTGCTGCTACACATCTTGGAGGAACTGTAGGGACTTGGAGCCAAATCTTCAAATCAGCACAGCAAGTACTTGCACACATCAATAACAGGTCAATTTTTTCTATTACCCATGAAGAATATGGAGAGCAGTGGGAATTGTTGATGCCAAATGCATTGAATCTGTGGCCTCATGATTTAAGATACTTAGGTGGGAAATGAGCAGTTCAATACTCCTGGTTCATAGTTACTTGCCAGGTGGCTGCTTTCAGAGGATCAGCAGAAAATATGGATTTTTTCAGTACGTATTGAATGGTAGGTCATTATTTTAGCTTTATAAGGAACTATTTGAGACTTCCACAGTGATCTCACTGATCACTACCACATATTGCACGAAGTAAGTTCCTTCCCCATGCATGAGCTGGTAAGAGTCAGTATTTCAAGTATAGGACACGTGTTCAATGAAAATGACCTAAAAGAATAATTAAATATTTATTGCTGTATTCTGCCTGTTACCAAGCAGCAATACTGAATCCAGGAAGGAAACCCGCAGGATTTCTCTTTCTCTCTTTTTTTTGTTTTTCTCCTCTTCTTTTGCTCTTTTGGTGAGAAACATAAAACTCTGTGGAGAAAATGCAAAAACTACAGGTAAAACTACAGCTTCTCAGAGATGGGGTGAGATTCCCATAGGCTACAGAAGGCCAGACTTTCCTGAAACTTTAGGAAAATCTCCTTGTTAGAAATACCAAGCTATATATAAAAAAAGGGCAACTCTGGAAGGCAACAGTCCTAAAGACAATAAAGATTGTGTGGAGTATGTGCATAATGGAGGAGGAGCTTAAGTCACAAGTTTTCAAGTAGTTTTCAATTTTCTCTAGTGTGCAGAGCCCTGCCTGGTGAGTTCAAGTTTGTCGATAAACTGTTTGTTTTCCTTGCTTACTTCCCACAGGCTGATGAGAAGCTGTCCTTCCACACCCAGGGGCCGTGGACTAACCAGGGCTCTGGAGCTTACAGAGAAAGGGAGACTCCTTTAGAAAGCAATCTAAACCAGGAGCTCTACTTGTTAACTTTTGCTGGACCAGAACAATCCCATGTTCTATTGTCCAGGGTATGTTTTAATGAAGGAAAAAAACCCACCCAAAATATCTCCACTGGTGTCTTTTATTAAGTAATGCAAAATACAGTATTAATTATGACACTGCATGCATTTTAGACAATATAAATGCAAGCCTACAGAAAATGTGACAAAGAAACCCTCAATTACTTTTGAGGTAGTATACAAGGAAAAATAGGAAAGCAGAAACACAGTGGATTAAAAGAACAAAATATTAGTTTCACTTTGTGCATACATTAGTCACTCATAAATACATTTGTATGAAATAACTTAAGATACAACTCCATTCTTGTTAAAAAATATACTTTTTCAAATTCACCTTTCTTGTTTGTTTTGTTTTCACATGACATTTTATGGTATTTTATCAGGTGGATTTATTTTTTATCACCGCCGTCATGATTTTACCCTTTTCCTCCAAGAGTTTAGGCACAGATGGCCTCATGCACAAAAATAAATAAGAAACCTGCTTGAAGGGAAAAGAATTCTGCTCAAATAGCTTAGGATAGTCTAATAAATACCATTTTGTTTATAAAAATATTTCAGGTTTATAAAAGAGGGGAGGGGACGGTCTCCCACGTGGAAAGGATGTTAAGTGAAAAGTGCTGTATAACATTTTTGAAGAGATTTTGTTTTAAACTTATAGTACCATTATGAATATATATTTTATAATAATCCTGTTTCTTAGAACCTTATTGTTCACTAGAAGTATCAAATGCTGTTCGCTTCCTTTTGTTTGTTGTCTTATTGCAGTTTTGGAAGATGCCTAGTTCAGAAGGGTTCCATATAATTGTGCTTTTGTAAGGCTGTCCTTCCGACTCAAACCAGTACTCCCAGTCCGTTGAAACTGCTGCTGTTTGCTGTGAACACCCGAATGGCTTCCTTGCTCCATGGAAGACTGGTGGATTTCTGAAGCCTCCGCTGAACTCTGATTGAGGGACTCTGCTGAGCTGTTGGGGCTCACGTCCACATATTCTCTTTTTAATACTGGGCTATTTTCGATGTTTTTGCTACTGCATAACTGGACAGTGATCCTTTCATTTTTTTGGTCTCTTGGTTCTTTTGTTTTGTAAGTGGGCAATTTGTCCTGTTTACAGCTCGTGCTGATGTCTATATTCAGGCCACTGTCTGTTCTCAGGAAGCAAGAATCCACAAGTCTGCTTTGGCAGATATCGTCTCCCTCTGAGCAGCTATCTGCTTTGTAACTAGCGTAGATGGGGCTTGTTCGACTGTCTCCCTTCTTAATAGGGCTGCTGTAGTACTGCTCTGAAAAACTACAGGGCGACAACCTGCCAGTGTTCCTGTAAGAGTATGCACCAATGTCCTCCACGCTCAATTGCCTCCATCGCCCAGGCAAGTCTTCTTCTGAAAGGTGGGTGCTCCTGCACTCGTTCCTCATTTTCTGATTTGCTAAAGCCTGCTGGGGTGCTATGGCTGAGAAATGAAAAGGTTCGTTTGCATAAGGAGGCAGAGACCTAGTAAAAGTGGGTGAGTTCTCGTTGTCATCGGCAAGCTCCATGTGCTGCGCAGGTTTGGACTTGGCAAACCTAGGACTTCCCTGATGTTCGTAACCAGCAGGTGACTTTCTTTCAAAGAGTTCATCTCGGTTGCTCATGTAGATCGCTTGCTGAGAGGCTGTCAGAGTGTTGGCTTGGGCGTTCTCCTTCTCCTCGGATGTGACGCTGAAGCTGGAATAGGAGCTGGAGGTCGGCAGAGAGGTAATGTACTCTGGGAAGGCTTCATGAGAGAAGCTGGAATGGAAACCGTCTTCTTCGACAGTGCTGTCGGTGGAGTTCTGGGACCGCAGGAACCCCACGTCTTTCACTTGTGTGTCCACACTCTGCCTCCTCTCCCTCCTCCTCTCCTCAGGGCAGTAAAGGGCGGTGTCGCTGCAGTAGATGTCTGACTTGTACTGGGGCCTTTGTCCAAGTTTTCCAGACGAGTCCTGAAAATTGAGATCCCTTGTCGATGGGCTTGACAAGTGTGAAGACAAGCTGTTTGGATCTGGTTTTTCCAGTACTTTGGCAATGACGCAAGTGGGTATGGTATCAGCGTAAGATGTGTGGCACAAGGGGACAGAAAGGCTGCACCCGTGTTTTTCCAGATGGATGCTGACTCTTTCCTGAAAGTCAGATGGCAACTGTAACATAAAGAGATGGCAAAGAGGACAGGAGAAAAGGGTGCAGGTCAATACTGGTGTCTGCTTGGCCTTATACAACATTGATAGATGAGTGCTGTTTAGGACACTGTATGTGGTTCTTTGGCTAATGTGATGGCCACAATCTTTGTGCATTTCTGAAAACAAACGTAATCAAATGACTTTCATTTTTTAACATGGGGAAATCTTAATCTGCTTCCCTTCATGGAAAGCACTGTGCAGCTGAGATGTTTCCTTCCAGGTTAATTCGGGTTGGATAGGAATGATGTAAAGCATATAGTAAACAGTGATCTTATAAAGGCAGGTAGGGAATTACAGCCTACAGCAACACTTTCCAGACTGCGTGCGTGGGTAC